TGGAAAGCCTTCCAAGAAGAGTGGAGGCTGTTTTAGCTACAAAGAGGTGAGGGGCGACACCATGTTAATGCCCATGGTTTTGAATTGTGAGTCATGATTCAACTTTCCACATACTTTTGACCATAGAGTGTATGCTTGGCATGCCTGTGGACCCTTTATTACTTACTTAAAATAGTTTACAAATTTTTATTGCATTCCATTTTTAATAACCAAATATTTAGTCAAATTGTGTTTGCTTGACAAACATAATTTGAGGCCTGAATCTGAAAGTCAACTTTCTGAGTTTGATGTGCAGTTGTATAGCACTACATCCCTCAACCTCCTCAATATAACAGAATTCATCAATTTTTTCCTGTTTCATATTTTTGTTCAGTAATGTTCTGTCACTGCTGTACCTACCATGCATTGCTCAAATACATCATACAACCATTGGGAATCTCTGTGATGTCAGCCAATTCTGACTGCTAGCTAAGCCAAAGAGCTACAGGCTAATAAGTACAACCAAGCTAACATTAGTGTCACTCTTACCTGTGTCAAACAAAATTGTAAAGAAAACAGGTATTCTATATTTATTCAGCACAAAGTGCGCTTCAAAAACTTTTCTTTATCATTTTAGCTAGGGAAAAGTAGCCAAACTGTGATAAGTAGCAAGATAGCCAGCTAGCTACCTTCTTAACGTTACCTTTTAATTTATTTTCTTCATTTGATGAGTCTCCACTGTAGTGATGATTTAAAGATAATGGCTGCAATAAAATGTTTAGCTTCCTAGCAATTATGTTAACTGTCTGCCTTCCCTCTACATTCACCAACTGACAACAACCAAAAAAACAGCCCATTCCAAAAATCCAACTTTTTTTAAAAGTTCCTCCCACCTTTAAGATACATCATCAGCAGAAGGATTTTTAGCCTTTACACCATAAAATCTCATTCTAAAGACTGCTATGGTACCACGGTGGGAGGTGAATAGGCATGTTTACAACAGATATAATGATGGTTACAGTTTTTATTTTGGCCAGACTGTTCCTTTAACTGATCATGCTAACATTTACTATCGACAACGTGACATAACTGTATTATTTTTCTTTGCCCTGAACATTCTTTGCTCTTAAACACTGCATATTCATTCATTTTATTTATTGCTACTTTCATGTAAATGTATCTCACTGGGATTAAGGTATCTCAGGGATTTCACTCTAGGTTTCACGCTAGATCTCTAGGTTTCAAAGCTAGAGACATGAGGTCATGCCCCATGACATAGATGTTAATTAGAGGATATTGCAGGAAATAAACTAATTAGGATTATATGGCAGCTCAGAGTGGTCATTAAGTAGGAAATAGTGGTAGGAACTGTCAACAGTTGCGTCAAAAGAAGACCTAATATGGCATTTCCGTCATCTTTGCCTGCCGTTGGTAAGTGTAATAATGTCACCTGCTGTGCCGATGTCAGTGAAGCACTTACATTGACTTTAAGGCCAGTTCTCTGGAATCGTAATGCAAATATGTCTATTCAAATGAGGACTGTGGAAGATACTCTGTAGTATAATCTCATTTTAATATCCCTTCCCATTACTTTCCACCAACCATTCCACAGCAACAAAAACAGTGTCAAGCACTTGCTAATGTCGAATATGAAGAGAGTCATCTGTTTCAAATTTCAAATTCAGGACAATTTAAAAAGATAACGTGTCTATTTTATTCTTATTGCGTATTATTTGCCTTTGATTTATGCAGTGGAGCAATTAAGCTAATGTAGATAACAAACACTACAAATCAATAGTCAATACCAAATTATGTCTTTTTGGTAAATACATGTGTAAAACTTCTTCAAACCCACTCAAACTGCATCCAGGTCTTATTTAGGGTTGCAGAGACTTAAGTGTGACTTACTTTAAACTACAAAAATTAACAGAACTTCACTGTGCAGTCACTTTAGACAACAGGTAATATTCAACTGCCTGTCACACAAGCATATTGATGCTACAGATTACGTTCAGTAAGAATTGCCAATAGAGTCAAACTGGAATGTATTTCTGTAAAAGAACGCCCACATCAGGAACACCTCCTTACCTTTCATTGGCTGATACTGTCAGCAAAATGGCTTCTTTCATTGGTGGAGATGACTCAATGATGTTACATATACTACATTACCCAGTGAGCTATAAAGAATATTTAACTATAAAGAACTGAATAAACAGGAAAACTTCCACCTTTTATTATTCCAACCCATTAAATAGTAAATATCGACCTTATTAATCCTTGCTGTCTTTCTTATGCTTTTCAGTGTCCGTAAGACATTGTGGTGTCCAAATTTTGCATCTTTAGTTTTCAACTGGAGCCATGAAGCTAATGGTGCTAACAAACACTTTTCATGATTTCTTTTTAACTCAAGATCTTGAGTTTTCTAACTAAAGATATATGTTTAAAAATACAAAGAACACAAATGGTGGTGATAATATGGTGTCCAGATGCATGTGTGCAAGGGACCCTGCTAGAAAAAACATCATAGACTAGCATAGCTGGCCTCCAGCAAAACCATTTTGGATGCTGGTTTAAAACAGCATGAACCAACTTAGACCATTGTGGAATTCATGGTGGTCTAAGCTGGTTTTTACGGGGGCAGAGTTACACCATTGTGTAAAATGGTTGTTCACACTGTGAAGTTTTTTTGTGACCAGGTTTCAGCCAGAGACAAGAAGCCTGACTGAGCTAAGGTCTGTAGATAGCCAGCTACGTTACTAACTTTAGCTTTAAGCTTATTGTCTTTATCTGATGAGTCACTCTGTTGTTTGAGTAATCTTCTCTCTTGTGATGCTCTAAACCGCATTGACAAGTCTGTGCTAAGTGGGTTCGGAGACGTTTTGGGGCTGTATTAACGGAAAAGATTTCTGTAAATGTATAGTGTTTGTTGGCAATGTTGGCCTCGTAGCTCCAGTGCTAAACTGAAGAAGCAAAACTTGAATACCATACATGTCTTGGCTTATCGGTTACTTTTAAGTGAAAAAACCTGTCAATTTTTACGGAACCGTTCTTGTAAGTAAGCTCAGATACACTTGGTTGTGTGGTTTCTCACACTGTATGACATACTGTTATATAGGGGTGCGGGTAAAACTCGATTCTTTGATGCATCGCGATGCGGACGTGAACGATTCTGAATCGATTCATTCAACGTCAAAAATCGATTTTCTAAATATTTAATTTGTAACGTTATGTTGACGGAACGCAAAAGGCTGAACTGGAAGTGGATAAGTGCAGCACCCGGACAGTCTGTGGCGGCACATAACAAAAACACTACTGGAGGAGCGAGAAATCCGACCGGCTCCCTCTGCATTAAAAGCCAGGTTAGGTCAGGAGTCACAACCCAAATGATAAGAAGAGCCATTTTGCCTTTCAACGAAGTTAAACCACCTTAGGAGCCACAACATTTAACGTCCAGTATGTCTCAGTATGTGTTAATGTCCTAGTATAGGCTAAACAATATAAACGAGAGCGCAGATTTACTTTGCTCTGCTTTAAGCTTTAGCTACAGCCGCTTTCCTCCCATCTCCGCCAGAAAACTTTTCTTCAAAACTAGAAGAGTTTCTTGTAAAATGTCTCAGCGTCCGGCTGTTTTACGAGGCTGAAGTCGCTTCTCATTCGCCAGTTCCTCATTCTAATTTTCCCGTTCCACCTTAAATTCTGCCTTAGGCGCCAAATGTAACTGCTGCACCATTTAAGGTGGAATGGGAAAATACGAAAGAGAAGCGAGTTCATTTTCGCAACTTTTTAGAGAAAGACAGTCTCGTTGCAGATTTAACCAACCGCGCTGCTTATAAATGTGAATAAGTCCTCCAAATGTTCGTCTTAATCTCTGTTTTTTCGTTCGCTACTGGCGAGGCCAGACTTCGGGGCTATGTGACCTGCTGTCTGCTGTCTGTTCTCAGTCGTTGAGAACCAGGACTTTTGCGCTATGCTGCACACTTTGAAGCCGAGATTCAGCGTCCAGTCTCGAAAATACCCCCCACACTCTCTACAACGAGACCAAAAGGATGGCTGTAATGTGCTGCGTGGACACCCATTGCCACTGGATCTTATTTCAGGGTAACGGCGCATTTTATCGCAGATGAGTGGCAGCAGCGTCTCTGAATGAGAGCCTTCTAGTTCACTTGCCACATCACTTCCATTTGATTTATTAATGAAAGATATTTTAGATATTTAAAGCAAAGTATTTGTAATGATCTGTAATGCATTTACATTATGGATCATTACAAATACTTTGCTTTAAAACTACCAAGTCCTCAGACAGTAGGAAGATGGAAATCATGTATAGAGAAAAAAGATGCATTGAGATGCATCGATAATCGTTTTATAATTGCATCGCAGCCCTCTGAATCGTAATCGAATCAAATCGTGAGGTGCCTAAAGATTCCCACACCTACTGTTATATGTTGTTCATACTTTCGTTTATATTTGTTGTCTAGTTTTGTAGATAACAGTTTGTCATACAACATCAGAAACAATGTAAGCAAGTCTGTTCGAGCTTACTTCACAACTTGATGTGGTATTGAGGCAGGTGTTTGCTGATTTAGACGTGCAGTTTACACAAAGCTGTGTGTTCCATTGCTTGTTAGCTACATTAGCCTTGTAGCTGCAGGGCACAAATAATAGAAACAACCTTTAGACATCCAGTGTCTTGGCTGATCGACAGCATTTGAAGTAATGGGCAAACTGTGTAAATTCCACTTTTCAAACTGTTGCATTAAAGTGCATGTTGTTTAGATGGTCTGTTATAAAAATCACTTCATTTTCAGATATGGAGAGTCTTTTACTGGAGGTCTTTAATGTTCATATGCTTTGCCTTTACACCTCACAAACATGTAATTTAGGCTCTGTGGAGCAGAAATAAGTTAGAAGTGTAGAATTGAACATGGACATTTATATCAACTGTGCACTGTTCATTATTTTTCCAAGCGTGTTTAAATGGTGCTGTCATGGTGAGCCAGACTGTGTCTCTTCTGCCTTAGGTTCCTTTGTGAATGGTCATCTCAACGGGTCAGGAGCTAAAACAGGACTGTTCACGGGCAGCTGTAAGGCAGACAGATCTCGGTGCGCGGCTCAGACCAACAACGACGATAGCGAATACTCAGGAGAAGAGCCCGTAAGAAAGAGGTGAGTGTTGATGATCTTTCATCAGCTTTTCAGCATGAATTATCTGTCCAGCCCTGATAAGATCTGACTATTCTCATAGGATTTGGTCGGGTTCAGACGTCATTTTTCAAATATTTGTTGGGCTTGGCTTGGGTTCCGATTTTACATTCAGTTTTCTCATAGTCTGTCTTTCGCCTTCTTTATGGATTTTAGATAAATCTTGTCAGGCTACAGCCAGACTGGGATAGAATTTTGTTACTGTTGGGTTCAAACAGCATTCTGGGTGATTACAGTTAGGCTTGGACAGAATTCTATCGGACAACAGTTGGGCTCTGAGAGAGTTTTGTAGGGCTACAGACTGGCTTGGTCAGAATTTTGTCAGGCTTCAGTCAGGTTGGGACAGAATTTTGTCCACAATTGGGCTTGCACAGAATGTTGTTGGGTGACAGTCGGGCTTCTACAGAATTTGGTCAGGCTACAGCCAGGCTTGTACAGGAACTTTGTCATGGTACAGTTGGGTTCACAGACAATTTTGTGGGGCTACAGTCAGTCTTGGAGAGAATTTTGTCAGGCTGCAGTTGGGCTTGTACAGAATTTTGTCAGGCTGCTGTCGGGCTTGTACAGAATTTTAGATAGATAGATAGATAGATAGATACTTTATTGATCCCGAAGGAAATAAAGCAGCCAGTAGCAGTCACACATCACAGTACAGTTATAATAATAAGGGTGAAACAATATAACAGGAAGAATAAATATAAAAAAATCCTATCTACAGGCATATATACAAATAGAAATATACAAAAATCTGGATTAAGATCTATACCCCGAGATGAAAAAGGCAGTGCAATAATGACTGTACAAGGAAGCGCAGGTAACGGCATATAATGACAATACTGAATACAATACTTTTATCAGGCTACAGTCGGGCTTGTACAGAATTTTGTCAGGCTGCAGTCAGGTTGGGACACAATTTTGTCTTGCTACATTATTACTTGGGCAAAATTTTGTCGGACTACAGTCAGGCATGTTCAGAATTTTGTTGGCTGCATTCACACTTGGCAGAACTTTGTCTTGCTGTAGTCAGGCTTGTACAGAATTTTGTTGGGCTACAGTGGGATTCTGACAGTATTTTGTCAGGCTGTGGTCAGGGTTGGACAGAATTTTGTCATGTTACAGTTGGGTTCAGAGACAATTTTGTTGGGCTACATTAGAGTTCAGACAGATATTTGATGTGCATGCACCAGTCGGGCTTGAACAGATTTTTGTTGGTCTGTAGTCGGGCTTGTACAGAATTTTGTCAGGCTACAGTCGGGCTTGTACAGAATTTTGTGAGCTGCAGTAGGGTTCTAACAGTATTTATTCAGGCCGCGGTCAGGCTTGGACAAAATTGTATTGCGCTGGATTTTGTCGGGCTACAGTCGGGCTTTGATCATTTGGTCAGGCTGCAGTCAGGCTAGGACAGAATTTTGTCATGTTACAGTTGGGTTCAGAGACAATTTTGTGGGGCTACAGTGAATTTTAAGCGGAATTTTGACGTGCTACAGTCAGTTTGGACAGATTTTTGTTGGTCTGCTGTCAGGTTTGGATGAAATTTGTCAGGCTACAGTCAGGTTGGGGGAGAGTTTTGTCAGGTTGGATAGGCAATACAGGGCTGCATTTTCATTTTTGGGTCAAAATTTCAGGCCCGATTAAAGCTCTAATCAGCATAGAGCTAAAGCCTCCGAACCCTTGAGCTGAATAAAGAGTCTCCACATTCCATTCCACTGATCGCACACTCAACTATTTTACGTTATAGCCACTCCAGCTCAAAGAGCTGCACACAGGCTTTCATCTGCAACTGAAGGTTAATGGAAGCCCAGGCTGGCCTGTGTATTCACAGGAGAGAAGCAGGAGCTGCTCATGCTCCCGTCTCCGGCTGAGCTTTGCTGCATCTCTCTAAAACCCTCCACTGCTCATTAAACAGAGCAGGGCTGGATAATTGCCTGAGTGCTGAGACTTTTTGCTGGGCTCGGAGATCTCCCGACTCCCCCTCAGTGCCTTCACCACCAGATGATTAATTCTGCAAGTGAAGAGTACATCACCGCCATGCAGAAAGGAGCTGCAACGGCATATACTCGCACACCTCTCTGCCTTCGTATGCCCACGTATGATAATATTTATGGTGTCCGAGAGTCTGTTTATTAATCTTGCGCCCTTTTCTGACTGAAAGCTTTAGCTGTCATTTACATCTCTTATAAATATACTCTCAGTAGCAGCTACACGGTTACTGTAGCTAACTAATGATCTAAGCTTTCATCTTTAGAAATGGACAAACATTGGATCCCTGAATTGTGTCTGTACTTTTGCCTATATGGATAACAAATTGTCATACAGTGTAAGAAACCACATACAGTCGTATGCGAAGGTTTGGGTGCCCCTTGTCAAATTTCATGTTTTGTTGGTGAAAATAAGTTATCACATCCTCTACAGGGAACACTTCTTTTGTGCATTTTAATGGACAATTACTGTATATTTACAGAACATATTGGGGAAGAAGATAAAACATAAAATGTGGAGTGTGCAAAGGTTCTGGTACATTTTTTGTACGTTTTAGTTTTTCTAATGTTTTAAACTCAGCAAATTGTGCACTAAAAATTGCAGAAAATGTGCATATTTTGCTAACTAATAATCTGTAAGCAAGTGCATTTACCTGAATACTGTGTGATGATTTAGCCATGCAGTTTGTGTAATGCTAATTGGTTGTCTGAACTTCCATTACTTGTAATGGTACATGCCGCTGGAGTTCTTTCATTTGTCTCCGTTTCTCAATTGTGGTAAATACCTCCCCATACCACACACCAATACAACCAAGCAGGAAATGCAGAGATCGCACACGTTTCCTCTGAGGTGCATGAGGTCTACCGCTGCTTCATTTAGTCTCACTGCCCATGCAGCATTATCAAGAGTCTCAGTGTGCAAAACACTTGACTTACTATGTGGTAAATGTGCGCAATACATCAAAATATATGATGATACTTTATATATGACAATTTGTTTGTGAAGGAGATGGAATGGACAGACTTTACCAGTAAAACAGCAGTGCCACATTTGCCAAAATAAATAATTTCATAAGAAACAGCAGTAAAAATGTAAGTAAGTAATTAGTAAATGCATAAAATAAGACAATGGCGCAATAACCTCACACCCTAACACTACTGTTTACTATTCACTTACTACACACTGACTGTGTCATAATTGGACATGATGACAGTAACATACACTATATGTCCAAAAGTTTGTAGACACTTGCTTAACCATTGTTTCTTTTGAAATCAATGGTAGTAATAGGGAGTTTGCTCCCCTGTTGCTACAGTAAAAGCCTCTACTTTTCTGTAAGAGCTTTACACTAGATGTTGGAACATTGCTGTGCATTCAGCTACACAGGCATTAATGTGGTTAGGTACTGATGTTGGATAATTAGTTCTGGATCACAAACGCCACTTCAGCTCATCCCAGAGGTATTGGATGGGCTCCATCACTCCAGAGAAAGCAGTTTCACAACTTCACAGCCCAATGCTGGGGGGATTTATACCCCTCTAGCCTGATTTTTAAGCTATGTGTAGCTGCTTCAGAGCATCCCATTCCATTGAAAATGCTTACAAACTGCGCAACTGATCACCTGTATCAGCAATAGGCATGTGAAAGTATGAAAAAAAAGCATTAGCACGATAATTGTCTATCAAAGTTTATGATATTGTCAAGATATTGCAGAAAAAAAACACATTTCTACTAAATGTCAGCATCCAGCTAACAGCAACGGAGATTTTTTTCCCACACTGGGTTTAATACTACTCGGCTTGAATCTACATACAGACTGTAGACAAACAAAGCTTGTAGAAGACATTTAGGTAACTTGTTTTTGCTTTTTTATGCTCCTATTTTACAGTGAATCAATTAGGAAATATTTCAGCTTAAAACCCAACCTACCTGGATTAGCCTGTTAGCCCGTTACCAGCCTGCCAAGCTGCTCGTTAAATAAAACCAGATTCTTAAGAAAGATTAACTTTGGTATGTTTTCATGCACAAGCGGTTTGTGGTGCAAACATACATGTAATTGTGAGATTAAGCATCTGCAAACAGGATGCGATGTAAGTTTTCATCCTTTTGGGGGATAAAGGTTCTCTGTCTGCTCCTCCTTCAGCTGTGCTGTGGCTGCGTTCATTGTGATTGTTTATAAGCTCTGCGTGAAGGAAGGACTGTATCATGTGGTCAAACCGTGAAAGTGCAGTCGAAGTTCTCGAAAGAAGAGCTGATCTGCATCTCTGAAATATATCTACAGAAACTGCAACTTTGTTTTACTAAATTGCAGTGCAAAGAGTCCACAATAATGTTACACATGTACTATACCAAATTACTGAACACCGGCACATGTCTATTCATTAGTGGGTGCACCTTAAAGAACAGAATTCACTACTAACATGTAGTACCTACATACTTTTGGGCATATAGTGCTTCATCATATTGCCCACCTCTACTACACGACATGTGTGGATGCTGGGCTGAACCGGTACATGGCTTGGCAATGGAAAGTGAGCAACCCCTTGCCCCCGCCTCCAGTTCCAGGAAAGCGGCCAAGCATTCCCACTCAGCCCCCGACCAGCACAGCACATGGCACAACTTGGATGCTTTTTAGTGTCTTTAAAGGTATACAGTTTACTGGTGAAAGTATTCAGTGGCCCCGTCATTTGTTGTTGCTTTTACACAGCAGGTAGCGTTAGGGGTGAATGTTTAGGGGAAATCATGTGAAGAATTGTTGTTCTACACTTTTGTTCAGTGAGGCCACATGAACAGAATCCTTTGTGGTAGCACTTAATAAGACTACCTTTATATGGTTTATGAATGGTTTTAATAAATTATTTATGTCATAAGCACATTTATCTGTACTGCTAAACTTCATATCTTGCTGGTTACTTGTTTTTATAAGTTACTACCATATAATGACCAACAGGGTGTCTTATTAGTTAGAATTAGTCATTTGGCCT